GGAAAACAACATGTCTCTAAATGGGACGAGCATAATAGGGGTAGGCCTCATGATGGAGGCAGCCATGACAGGGGCGGGGAAGGAAATGACAGCAAGGGAGGAAGTGAGAGGGGTGACGTCCATGATATGTGTGGGAAAGGAAGACAGGAGGTGTGGGCATGGTAAGGGCGGAAGTGACGTCACTTTAGAAGCAACCGTGACTGTAGATAGGTCACGGGACTGGCAGGGTCAACCTCCTTCTGTACTAGGCGCCATCTTTAGGGTGGTGACTGACGCACTTTCAACAATACACTATATTAAAACTATTAAAATAAGTCAGAGAAGCAACATTCCGTTCTGCAAAATGAAATACTAAACTATGAACAGACCTGGCAGGTTAAATAAGACAGTTGAAAACATTATGCATTTAACAGCCCATACAGCTGTTTCTAGAAACATGTACTTTAAAATAACTTTAAAATAATAAAATGATGCAAAATAAACTCACGGAATTCAACCAATTTCCCTTATCTTCCTCAAACCATTAATCACTTTCCTCCTCTTATACTGACTTAACATCGCATATTCCCTCTACACCTTCCTAAATCCCGTATTCAACACTGAATGCAATCTTGTGAGCTCGTCACTCCCACAATCCTCAGTACCTTATACTCTTATCAGTAGAAATGCAGGCAAGCGGGGAGGAGAGGGGGGGAGAAAGTTAGACAGTGCAAAAAAGGGAGTGAAGCTGCAGGCATGAAGATTAACCATGTGAGTGCTGGAAAGTAACAAGACAGAAGGACAGAGACTTATACGTTTGGAAACCAGAAATCTTTGACGGGAGAAACGGACTGGAGGTGCAGGGAGCTGCAGAGAGAGGATGAGGGTGACGAGATCTGTAGGACTGATGGGGGGGGGAGAATAGGGATCCATCAGCATCCAGTAACACAATTATTATAATACACAAACAATCTTAAACCTTTGTGATCAATATCTTCCTCAACCTATCCCTTTTGCTGAATAGCTCTTGCTACTCGGTACCAGGCTTCTGCTGTACAAACCAAATCTTGGTCCGACAGCTTCCCTTTCTTCTCTGTCAGTAACTTACGCCAGCTCTCTGGCTACAATCTGCCGCACAGAGGTACGGTAATTCCACATACTTTAGCAATCTTACTCACTTTCTTAACCATCTCTTCTCCTTCTCTGTCTTCCACTAGATCACATGCTAACCAACCCTTACTGGGTTTATCTAACTTCTGTCCCATCCTCCCTATATAAGGCGTCCCAGATATAGAGAGAGAAAGGAACAGAACGTCTACCGTGCTCGACTGCTACTTTAAGAGCAAGCTCTTTAAGTACGTCTTCCCAAAACGTAGACTAGTCACTGATTCCGCCTACCCGTGGTAGCCGCGGATTGGAGCGTGGCGAGAAGTGTGTGACCAATCACTTCTCTCAACAGAGAAAGAGAAATAGGAGGGGAAAGTGTAAATAGTACAGTGAGTAAGATAGAAGTAAACACAGGAATCTGTGTGACAGACAATTAAGACAATAACATTTCAGTGTAAATACAGTGCATGCATCACAGTTCAAATAAGTTCAACAGTTTTATCCCTTGCCTTTACTCGTGTGGCCAAAAGCCACCTCCCTCAACCTCGTAGTGTCCCTGTTGCGGACCCACCCGCAAGTCTCACTACCAGCAGCCACAGGAAACAGCAACAGCTTCCAACCCGAATCCTGTATAGCCTAAAGAATTGGAATCTTACCTGCCTCAGCGCTCGAGGCTGGAATTTTACCAAGAAGCTAAGCGGTCAAAATGACACTCTGGGGAACCCCCAGGAAGCAATGAGTCTACATCATCCTCCACAGATTCCCCCTACTCTTTTTCCTTACAGCCACAGCCACGTGGCTCCTAAAAGAGTTAAACAGGCAATAGAGGACCCCCAGGAAAACTTCCACAGGTCCACCCCCCTTTTTCCTTACTACCACAGGCACGTGGTACCTAAAAGGAGTTAAACAGGCACTTACACTCCCCGGGTACTAAGTTAAACACATACCAATACAAACACACCCAGGCAACAGATAGTCAACATGCAGGTAAACTAGGTATCATTAACAATACAAAGACTCTGGGCAAGTTATTACCTGACTTTGATGTCCTCTCGGCAGCAGTCACAGACACTGGGATAGGTCAATCACAGGGGTAGGAACATACCGGCTAGGTGCTGCAGCAATCTCTACCGTGTATTCAGAGGTGATCAGGCTCTTTTCCTTCCCCCAGGATTCAGCCCCCCCAGCGTCTTCTTGGACAGCTGCCCAGACAGGACATAGCCCAGAGCCCCACGTTGGAAGCGCCAATTTGTCGTATATAATTTACTGCAAACCAATTAGTTTGAATGACTATCTGTTCCTGTCCAAATTAAAGATAATAAAGTTGCGTGCACGCAGAAGTAAATTCACACTGAGACACAAGGTTCAGGGTAATGAAAGAACTTCAGAGAAGTTTAATGGCTTCTGACAGAAAATGGGTGCGCAGACCCTTATAAAGGCATTATTACATCATTGAAGAAAATCAAGATATAGACAAATAGACATTGTTAATTGGCTTAGGTGCTAAGATGTTAGTAAAATGCCCTCCCCATTCTTAGGTCACTATCTACGTAATTTCTTAACTCCTACAGGTTTTAGCGCCATTTTGCTAACATGAGGAGTTCACTCGACGGGAGGGGCCTTTTGGCAGCTATCCATTTAGAGCGTAGCTGGCACTTGTTAGTTTCTCAAGGTTAAGTTTCAAGGCTTTTAGTAAATACACATTTTATCAAAGCTATTTCTTGCTGACATGCAAATTCTATGTTCTATAGACAAAGCTTTCTTGTAAAACTATGGGGGCCTCTTAGAGGTATAGCAAGAGGATTTAAAGGGGCCTTACAGATTCATAGAGGCCTAATAATTCTACAACACCTATCCCACACATGCTTTAACTCCCTCACTGTGTTAATCTCTACCACTTCAGCTGGAAGGCTATTCCATGCATCCACTACCCTCTCAGTAAAGTAACACTGATATTATTTTTAAACCTTTGCCCCTCTAATTTAAGACTATGTCCTCTTGTTGTGAAGGTTTTTCTTCTTTTAAATATACTCTCCCGCCTGATTATAGCTTATTATTATCCCTTGTCAAGTATTTTTTCCACTCAATAAAATTTGATTGACAAAAAAAAAATTACATTAAATTTAAACTGACACCAAGTGCTAAACATCAAAATACTATCAGCTGATGTAGAAAGAAAAACCTGTGGACAATCTACAATATTAGTAAGTCATCAAACAACTGTTGAGCAGTGAACATGCAAGTGGCTAGTCTGGCCTTCAGGGATTCCAGGATTTTCTTAGCAGGGGGTTGCCCTCTGTGTTTCTACAGAGTTCAATAATGTAAATTGAAAAACCCTGTTAGGATTTAAGGAGACACTGGAGGAGCAATGGAGAAGCAAGGGTAGACTGAGAGATACTGACATGGAGAGACAATGTGAGATGGAAAGAATACATCCATGGGATGTGAGGCAGGTGAGGAAATAGAGAAGCAAATGATCATGGTGGGGATGGTCAATAGATAGGAGGAGACTGTGAGGTAGAGGGTCATGAAGAGCTAGGGTATGATAAAAGGGCGCTGGGGATAGAGGGTTAACACCATCTCTGTAGCAGATATTTCAAGTCATTTTTAAAATAGCTTTTCTTCCTTGAAATTATACATCTGTTAGTTTCCATTATTCAGGTTTTGAAACAGTAAATTTCATAACCTTTCCTCGAGCCATCTTCATTCCAGGAGTATGGGGGCAGTTCAAAGTTTTTTTTTTGTTTTTTTTTAAATCTCTTTTATAGGTTTATTATTTTCTCTGCTCACAATCTGTTAGTTGTGGATTGTTGTGGATTGATATTACAGGAAATCAAATATACCCATCACAATACATTTTACTGAAAAAAAATAAGAGGAATAGATCAAAGTAACAGAAAGAAGGAATTCAGAACCAGATAGTCCATAAACCAAAGAGATAGAAAGAAAACTGATAATCTGTTCATTTACCATGTAGGTCCACCTATATTTAGAGTCTGTCAATTATAATTGATGTTAATACTCCTATAGTAATTTCAAAATACCATGCTAGAGAGACAGTCATAGTGTTCATAACAAACCAACAGCAAAAAAGATTAAATCATGCTTGATACATTTTTTATATAAAAGTGTTACTCATGATTGAATTTCTTTTGCTGTCGATTTACTGTTCTAACTATAACTTGCTGTTCTAATTCAATCTGATGGCCAGCTACACAATATAAAGTATAAATATTTTTCAATGAGATGTATATAATATCATTTCTGTAGCATACCCGATAGAGATAGCGCACACTCTAAATCTACTTAACCATTGAACTGATCACCTTTACCTTTCTTTTCATTTGTATCTCTATGACTACTGTAACAAACCAGAAAAGCAAACAAACTAGATATTATTGCCCTATGTTATTTTATGTGCTACAAAATCGAGATTAATGGGAGATATTTGAATATGTGCTAAATGGAGAAAATGACACAAAGGCAATCAAATATTACAGGTTTTAAAACATTAATTAAACCATTGTTTTGCCTGTATGTGATTCGTATTCTAAGTTTGTGATGAAATTAATATCCATGTCAGTGTTCCCTGCTCCTCTAAAATCAAGAATAATGAATATTTTATGGCCTCATGTTCAACTATTTGGTTAACTAAATGATTCATTTTGATTATACTGTCAATGAAAACATAATGAGGTACTTCTAAAATCATTTATGAATATTAAATATTTTAGCACTCTTGAATAAAGAATTATATTAGAAATTGTAATTTCACACCTCCCTATGTTCACATATACTTTGAACTTTGGTTTGCCTTATTGATCATTCTTTATTACTCATGACAGTTCCACCTTTGTGACAAGCAGTGAACATTAAACCTTCATAAACAATACACCTTTTTACTTGCTGATAAGACAGCTTATAAGTACACAGCTCACATTATTAGAAGCACCATGCAAAACTTTTTCTATCGCTCGTTTCACTGGCGTAAGTATCACACACATGGGTCTACTGGTCTCTACGCAAGGCAAAATTAAACAAGCCCGTATCCTGATTCTTGGCTTGGATGCAGCAGGAAAATCAACTGTGCTGTACAAGTTCAAGTTTAAAGATTCTTTTTCAACGACCCCTACAGTAGGTTTCAACGTGGAGATGATCCACAGCGAGAGACATTTGCAACTAACCATGTGGGATGTTGGAGGACAGCAGAAAATGAGAGCTTTCTGGTGCCACTACTTTGAGAACACAGATGGACTTGTGTATGTTGTGGACAGCAATGACAAGCAACATATGGATGAATCAAAGAAAGAATTTCAATCCATCCTTCAGCACGAGTTAATAAAAAACGTTCCAGTGGTTGTATTGGCGAACAAGCAGGATTTGCCAGGTGCACTGAATGCTGAAGAGATAACTCGGAAATTTAATATGAAGAAGCATTGTTCTGATAGAGACTGGTATGTGCAGCCGTGCTGTGCCATCACAGGTCAAGGGCTGGCAGAAGGACTTAACAAAGTGACAGAATTTGTCAAAAACTGCATGAAGTCAAAAGAAGAAAACCTAGTGCTTTCCAAACAGAATGTAAGACTCAAAATGTCCCGTAAAATGTGAATCTGGACAATGAACAGACTCCTGAATATATATCAACCAACAAACAGATACAGAGCACTTTCAATGTAATTATGACAAAATTCCAATATTGATGGGTTTTTTTTTTGTTTAAACAATACTACGAAGTACAATAGAACATGTCAATTGTGTTGAGCGATGTTCACTGATAATTTGTACATGATTTGCAAATACAATACTGTGAAAATGCTGCAATATATATCACTCCTGTAGTGAATGCAAGGATATATGCTGTTAATATAATTTATTTTGCAGAGAGAAACTTATACAACACTGCAGAGGATGTTGGCAATTTGTTAATAGTGGTAAAAATAATCTTTGTCGCCATTATGCAAGGTTAGTTGAATATTTTAGTCATCTGATTTACCTGTCTTCTAACTAGTATCAGTTTATTAAATAGCTATTTATGACTAAGAATAAATATTGTACTGTGTACACCCTTATACCTGTCACGTTGTACCATTATAGATTGATCAATATAGCAGACAATAATAATCTGCAGGAAAGTGAGTTTGATTTTTGTGTGGTTTTCTCCACTTTATTTTATTTCCCCTTACAATACGGTATTATTCTTTTTAAAGAATTTTCTGCTTAGGTGTTAAATAAAACTATTTTTTTCACTACACTGTAGGATTGAAAAATGTAGACGAAACCAGATGATTTTAGAAGAAAATCAGTTACAGTCACCTCTTGACTTTTTTTTAATTACTAGATTTTTTTGTTTAGTGAATTGTAATGAGTTGTGTATGAACGTCCAAAATTTGGCCACAAATGCAGTAAAATATATTTAACTTTTTGAAAGATTTTTTTATTATGCCTAATTTGTTCTAAAATGTATTTCTTAGTTTACTTACCGTACTAAGCAGAGAAATTTGATGAATCCAAAAGTAAAGACAAAAAAAAGGGAAAAATTACTGGTCTGCTTTATGGTAAGCAATCGGTAACATTGATAACATTTTCTGACTTATGCCCCGTATCCCTTAACTTTTCATTGGACTGAAAAACAAGTGTTTACTTAAATAGATTTTTTTGTCAAACCAACTTTTTGACTGAAAAAAAAGTTTCTACTTAAATAGATTTTTATGTCAAACCATCTTTTTATGCATTGTGTTATTAACTTTTAACACACTGTTTTTTATTTAACACAATATAACACTATAAAGCTTTGAAGGACAGGTATCTACACTTAATAATTCACAACATCACTTTTATTAAGCATGATGACAATTACACACATTTCATACCTTCCGTATATTTTAATTGATTCAACGTACATGAATGTTTCTTTATGGTTCTAATCTCAGTTTCAACAACAACCACGTGAATTGTCTCAGATCTGGCTGCCCCTGGTATCTTGTTTTCCGGGCCTAATCTTCTGGCACATTCTCAATCCCTATTGAATCTAGATGCAGGAGTACTGCACATGACGCTAGATTGTGTAAATAACAGTATACAATTATCATGTAGAAGACATTCTGATCACAGGAAGACATCACCTTTGTTGTGCAGGTAACTGAAACAAGATTTGAGTACACCAAAGATGCACTAAATCATTTGCGTTCTGCAATTCCCTCTATCATAGCTCATCCTTGGTGGACCTAGAGTACTGCTGATAGGTGTGTGCAGCCACTCCCAGCAACTGTAGCCTGCATCACCTAGGGGAAAACAAAGTAAATCTGGAAGGTTTGTGGCGGAACAGACCTCGCCACGTGTTTTTGGAGGGTGCTGCTTGCCCGCCTCCTACCTTCTGACTATGGCCCTGGGATATATGGCATTTGAAAACACTATTTGTGCCCTGTGACAAAACTGGAGATTGTGCACAAATATGACTATTGTCCATATTTTTTATAATTCCCTTCGTTTGTTGCACTGTTCCCCATGTGTTTCATCTGATCTGTTGGTCTGGCTGGATAGACTACCAGACAAACTGTGGAGTTACTGGGTGGCCACCATTTCATGTATCAGAGGCACATGGTGAGAACAATGGATGAAACACATGGTGAGAACAATGGATGGCGGCCATTTTAACTCACAGACACTGTTTGGACTTTTCTACACGGTGCCATCTTGCCGGTATTTGGTGCACAAAGACATCGTGCATTAGTTTTAAACAATACAACAGGGGACACATTATACAGTAATTATTTTTCATTCTGTATATGTTCTGCGGAATCTGCATTAAACTGTATCTTCCAAACTACTGAACGGATCTGGGTGAATTTTGGATATGGGGTTCACCCAGATCCCCCGGTTCCGAGGATATACTTTTTTTATGGGGTTATTGCATGTTTTGGGGTCCGTGTGATATGTTTTATAATACTGTATTTCTCTGCCTGTGATAATTATATTAACCATTGTGTTCGGTAATTATATCACAGGCAGAGGGGAGGATTTTGTGTGGGAGTGTCTGTGTGTATTGTACGGATTGATTGGTTGTATTTCAAAACCCTGTGGGCAGTACTATGTTTGTGGATTGTGAATAAAAGAGGCTGTATGTGCCAGTACAGTCAGTTCTGCTTGACCTCAAACCGAAGTGTCGTCTCGTTATTGGGGGAATTGGATTGTATGCTGATTGCAAGGAGTGTAAGCTGATTGTATGCTTTTCCTGTTCAGCTGCTTACAGCATTCATATGCTTGAGAGCATTTGTATGCTTCTCTGGTTTGGTGGTTATGGTGTCTCCTGCAGTGCTTGGAGTCCTCAGGAAACGCTAGGAGCATCCTTCAATGGAGGTACCCAGTCAGGGTGCCAGGTGATCCGTTACAAGGGTCATCCTTGGTCCTCCGCAGGGATTAGTTGTATTGGTAAACATCATGTAGATGTCAAATCCAATCAGTCTTAACCAACTAACCTAAAACATCTGAGCAGTTGTCTCAATGCACCTAAAGCAACAAATCAAGGGCTTTATTAGTTGCACCAGGTGTGCTTGAGCTGGAACAATTGAAATACTTGAACTGACATTGGGTTTGTTGAGTGTCACGTTTGACTGCATGTTAGAAAAAGTCAAAAGAATGGTCCACAAAGTTAAGAGAAGAGATCATCACCCTTCACAAACAAGGAACAGGATACAAAGAGATAGGGAAGGCACTGAATGTTCCTAAAGGCAGCATTAGGAATAGTTTGCAAGTTCAAAGGTGAAGAAATAGTGGTTACACTACTTGGATGGGGCAGAAAAAGGAAGCTATCATCTGCTGCAACCAGATTTCTGAGCAGTCCTGTTGCAGGTCCTTTGTGAGTGACTGCAAAAGACCAGATGTATGACTTGGTGGCAACAGACACTGAGGTTTCAGTGAGCACAGTAAGACAAGAACTAAACACAGGTTTCCATGCCAGAACTCCAGGACGTACACCCCTACAGACCCAAAAGCACAAGACAAGTCAGCTCTAATATCCTCAAAATCATATAAATAAGCCACAAAAGTTGTGGGATTCTGTTCTCTGGAACGATAAACAAAACTGGAACTTTTAGGCCCAATGGATCGGTGGTATGTCTGGAGGAAGAAGAATATGTTGAAAAGAACACTCTGCCTACAGTTAAGCATCGTGGTAGCTCTGTGATGCTTGGGGGCTGCTTTGTATCCTCTGGCACTGGAAACCTGCAACCTGAAGTATCAGGAAATCCTAAGAGAAAACATCATGACGTCTGTGGGGAAGATAAAGCTTGGGCGTCATTGGACCGTCCAACAAAACAATGATCCCACGCATACCTCTAATTCCACCAATTTCATCCATTCCTTGGTTGCAGAAGAAGTCCTGGAAAATTCTACAGTAGCAATCACAGTCACTTGACTTAAACTCCATTAAAAATCTCTGGTACAATTTGAAGAAGGCGGTTGCAGAACGCAAACCCAAGAATATTACTGAACTTGAGGCCATGGCTTAGAAGGGTAAGATTCCTCAGGAACTCTGCCAGAAGCTGGTGTCTGGCTATGCATCTTGTTTGCAGCAATACAAAACAGCAAAAGGGTGCTCTAATAAGTACTAATGATGCTTGCAACGAAGGGGTTAAATAATTTTGAGATTTGAGAAGTCATAAGTTGAGTTTTCAGTTACATTTTAGGAAACCACTTGAAGCATTTGTTGTGTTGAGCTATTTCAATTGCTTTTGACAAAAAAATCAATAACTGATTTTCAATGGGGATTGTATAATTGCATAAATTGGATTATATACAGTTTAAAAACATATTTAAACATGAGTGACAAAAAGGCTTGTGAGGGGATCTCAAACAAGCAAATATATTTCTTACATGGACATGACAAAGAAAAATGTCAAGCACTTACATAAATCAATCACAGTGTAAATATAGCAGAGTTACAGCAGAGCAGATCACATGAAACACAAGGCTACACTTGAACAATGAAAATAAGAGATAGTGGGTAGGCGCTTCACAAAATTGGAAATATAATAAAAGTGGTTGATATAACAGTGTTTCCCAGACACTAGATAAGAGTAAATATAAAAAGAAAAGGAATATATATCAAAACCACATAAAATAGAATCAGCCCAAAAACAAGTGGTGAAGAACAACCATAAAATACAACCTGTACGTTGAAGTATGGCAGAGTGTTATCTACAAAATATAAATACAGAACATAACATAGTGTATACTGTATATTACAAATGTATATAGAAAAAAGAGATGGACAACCACTCACATTTACCAGAGCCGTACCAGGCTCTGTATAGCAGGCTCACAGGTGCCAATTCAGGCTAACAGGATTCCGGATAATGAATGAAGAAAATTCCGTAGTAAAAAAGGGATATTTATTTATAAAAAATAATAATAAACAAACTCCTGGTTTTGAGGGGGTGGAACCCAATAACAGATAATATGTATAAAAAAGGTATCCACTTACCCTAACCAAAGTAACCAATGGAGTAGTATAAGAAAATTTAAAAATTGCAATACAAATAGTAAATAGCCACAATCAATAGCAGCAAACGCGTTTCGGCTTGGTAGCCTTCTTCCAGTGCTGTTCCTCAAGTCCTCGTGGCTTGTTTTAAATACATCCGGCATTTTCAATCACCTGTGTGTCGTTTTTCTTCCGCATGCGTCACTTCCGGTATTTTCGGACGATGTCACTTCCGGTTTCGTCAGTTGGAACGCATAATGGAACGCATATAGCGTTCCTTAATTTCCGGTATCGGAAAGAGACTTACGGTTTCATAAAAGGGCTCATAGTAAGAAGAGAAAAATATGTATGAATAAAATAGCAAACAACTATGAAGCCACAGAGTAATACATAAAATATTTGGCTAATCATATATTTATTGCTTATCCTTAACATATATCTATATAAGTAAGGGGAGGATCTAGGAGTTAGCAAATGATAGAGCAAAATGAGGAATATATAAACAGAAAAAGAAGTATAACTAATATTAAAGACCCAATAAAAAGGAATTATATAATATTATAAAAAATGAGAGAACTCGAAATCTAAATTAAGTCCATTTGGAAATAGACAATCTACATCAAAAATCCATTTGCTTTCTATTTTTGCCAACTCCTTTACATTATTCTCACCCCTCCAATTTTTATCTTTTTTAAGAATAGCCATAAAAGATAGTACAGATGGGTCACTTCTATGTTTATCAGCAAAATGTGCTGAAACGCTATGTTTCATATACCCCCTCTGGATATTACACACGTGTTCCGCAATCCTAGTTTTTAATGCTCTAGTAGTCATTCCTATATATTGCAGACCACATGGGCACCAGAGGAGGTATATAACATTAGTGGAATGACACGTCAAAACTTGACGAATAGGAAACGTATGTTGATTATGATAAGAGGTGAACGAAGTATTTTTTTGTTTTTTAAATAAAGTTTTTTTACATGCGACACATGATTTACAGGGATAAAAACCTGGATCGATGTTAAAGAATTTGGTGTTATCTCTTTTATCTTTAATAAAACTAGTCGTTAAATGTTGTTTCAGATTTTTTGCACCTCTATATACTATAGTTGGTTTATCTCCTATGATATTCTTAAGAGTTGGGTCTGATTTGAGGATATACCAATATTTATTAATAATGTGTTTTATCTGTTTTGCATTTTCATTATAATTTAGAACAATTGGGATATTTAGGAAACTTTCCTTCTTTTTCACATTAGATGTCTTATTATTTTGTGTTAAAATATCCTTACGTTCTTTTTCTTTGGTTTTATTGATGAAATTATCTAACACCTTCGCATCATAATTTTTCTCAATTAATCTAGTTTTTAAAAACTGAGCCTGTTCATCAAATAATTTTGGATCACTACAGTTCTTATATAAACGCAAAAATTGGCTATTAGGCATATTATGTAGCCATGGGCCATAGTGACAACTTGAAGTGTCGATGTACCCAGTCTGAATAGTTTGATTTTCAATATATACATATAAATCAAGAAAGCTAAGGCCCTCAGTGCTATGTTCACTCGTAATATGTATGTCTGAGTGATTACAGTTTAAAAAATCAATAAAAGATCGAAGGGAATCTACATCTCCTTTCCAAATGAAAAAAATATCGTCAATGTACCTACGATAGAGAACCAGATTCTGCGCCCAGCAAGCCTCTGAGAGAAAAAGATTCTCCCAACGTGCCATAAAAAGATTAGCATAGCTGGGCGCGAATCTGGTTCCCATCGCGGTACCTTTAAGCTGTAAAAAAAATTTTTCATCGAACCAAAAGTAATTATTATTAAGGATAAGTTTAATACTATCCATAATAAATGTAATCTGTTCCTGTCTCATATCGCTTTGCTGATTTAAAAAATACTCTACCGCTTCACAGCCTAAATCATGCGATATACAAGTATATAAACTTGTAACATCACATGTTACTAGGAGATAATTGTTCTCCCATCGTATGTCCATCAAAAGTGTCAGTAAAGAGGTAGAGTCTTTTAAGTAAGAAGGTTGTGATGTTACCAATGGTTGGAGTTGTTTATCCACATACTCAGAAAGATTACTCAAAAGTGATCCAACTCCGGACACTATGGGTCTACCTGGTGGATTTTTTTGATCTTTGTGTATTTTTGGAAGTATGTAAAGTACTGGAATCCTGCAGAAAGAGACATCAAGGTATAAAAATTCATGTTTATTCAGGATATCCAGCACTTTACCCCTATCCAAAAGTTCTGAATACGCTTTTCTGATTTGGCTAGTAGGGTCACTCTTTAGTTCTCTATAAGTGGTAATATCACTAAGTTGTCTGTATATTTCTGAGTAATATTGATCTTTATTAAAGATCACTATACCCCCACCTTTATCGGCGGGTTTGATAACTATACTTGTATCTGATTTTAACTCTTTCATTGCTCTCCTTTGTTGATAATT